TCTTGTCACGAAACGTACCATACATATATATTTTTTATTTTAGGAAATTTTGTATGTGATGTTATGCTTGCTGCAACTCATGCAGATTTAACTATACTTAACTCAGGAACCATTAGATGTGATCGTATATATCCAAAAGGACCATTTAAAATGAGGGATTTAATTACTGTATTACCACTGATGGATCCTATGGTAGTACTTAAATGCACAGGTTAAGAATAGTACTTTTGCTTATGTTTTAACTAGTCTTAACATTTAAATAAATCAAATCACTGCTTATTATTTCTTTAAATTAAAAATGTTAGCTTTCTTAAATAAGCAGTGATTTAATTTATTTATTTGTAAGAATGATACCATGTTTTATGAACTTTTATGATATTTTTACAATATACATTTTTATTACAAATCTAACAATCTAAATTTTCTATAATGTTCTATTTGAATTTGGAATACAGTGAAAACTGCTTAGGCGACCACCTGCATTCGACGGGCACCTGTCAAAACGGGCAAAAATTTCTGGCACGGAATAGTTTACCCATAGAGTCTTCGTATAAGTTACCTGTATTAAACGACCACCTGTGTAACGCGACCGCGGGCATCGATTTTTGGTCCGAAACAACATAACACCTGTAATAAGCAACCACTTTCGCGAATGTATCTGGTCTAAACTATTGTAAGAACCCATCTCAACAACGTTTCCACCTCCTAATATAATAAATTAGTCTAAACTCTCGTTCGATCCATCCCGGGCACTTCTCCCGCCCTTGAAATTAGGTGCAGGTGTTAATAAATTAGTCTAGCAACAAAGGAAATTAATTTCAGTTTGTTGGAAAATGTCCGAAAAATGAAAAAAATGTGCTGTCGTTAGAAGATCGTATTAAAGTTATCACAACAGCAATTAGCGGCGAAGTTTAACTGTGGGAAAACGAAATTGATTTTACCGTAGACCTACAGTATTTTCTTTGGGGGTGTAAAATATTGTACACGATACAATTAATCGGCTGATCTCATCGTTTGATAAAATCTATTTTTATTTATTTATTTTGAAGCTCATATACAGTACACGTGCGATAAATAGTTTCTGTATCAACCTACCTTATTTCCACGATATTTTTAGAAAAATAATATCCAAGTAATTTTCGCAGGCAAAATATTCAAAAAACAATGAACGCATTAATGCAAAAATCAGTTTTACTTCCTTTTTCGATTCCGCGATTGTAATGAAAT